TTTTTTTTATATATATTGAATTGGGTCGGGTTGGTCCAACCCAGAAACACGACCCGTTACTCAAGATAAGCAAATACAGATCAAGCATGCAAAAAGGAAATTTGCAACTAGAGTTCATGTCATTTCCAGCAAAAGATTAACAGATTCATCAAGCAAATAAACAGGCAAATATATGATTTTTCATTCATTTTTCAAGAGAATACATATCACCTTGAACATTAAACGAAAAAAAAAAACAGAGAAATCAACCAAAAAAAAGCAACACATCCACGGCAGAATTTTGTGTGAAAAATGGATCCAGATGTTGACGTGCCAAAATGGATGGAGTCGCCATCTATCCTAATGAGGTGGGATAGATCACCAACGTCTACGCAGAAATTGATTAGATCCGGAGGGTCGGTTAAGCATGGGGAAGGTGTTAGGCACCCCACAACTTCCAAATAATATGGTTACCAGATACTTTAATTTTAGGGACTTTTCAATTTTATATAACAAAATAATAATAATTACCCAAGAACATAAAATAAAATAAAACAAAAAAAACAAAAACTTCAAAATCCCATTATTGTCTTTTCCCATTCCCTTTATTTTTATTTTTGTTTCCTTTTTTTATTTATCAATAATAGCTACCACTCAAAAACATAAAAAAAAACAAAAACTTCAAAACCCATTATTGTCTTTTTCCGTTTTGTTTTTCCTTATTCATTTTGTTTTTTTTTTTTATTCATCAATGACAGCTACCCCAAAAAGAAAAAAAAATCACTTTAGAAAAGTCAAACAAATACTGTTCATCTACCTCTCTTTCATGGTTCCCGTTTCTTTTGTTTTTTTTTTTTTTCTTTTCCCTTTTTCGTTTCTGCTTCTCTTTTTTTTTATTTCAGTTTCGGGATTCTTACATTTTCCTTTTTCTGCACTTTTTTTTTTAATGCCTAAAGCCGCTTCTTACCCCTAAGCGTATCTCTGAATAATAACAGATCTAAAAAAATGCCATAGAAGAAACACCAAAGCTGAGGTTTTTCCGAGACTAACAAAAAAAAATGGCAAGCAATTACTTTGGATCCCAAGAAACGAACCAATGTGAGGGTGGAAACAAATGAAATCAGACTTGCAGCCAGGACCCAACCCATAAACACTTATCGCAGGCAAACCGTAAAGGAAACCAAAAAAAAACAAGCAATTTACTGATAACAAAGAAAAGAAAAAGAAGGATAAAACATGACAGAAAACATCAAAAAATAATAATAATGCACACCTGAAGAAAATAGGGAAACTCAAGCTTTATTATCTTGAAGTTCTGGTTACAAGCCTCAGATTTGTCCTTCTTCTCTCAATTTTTGAATCCCTCTTTTTCCCAATCTTCTCCTCCTCTTCGCCCTCAGATTTTTTTTCCTCTTTTTCTCCAATTTCCGCCCTCTTAGAAGCCAAAAGCCCCTCCTTTTTATAGACAAAAGTAAAACCCAATCCTAATGTGCTTCTAATACTCAAATCCCAATCC